TCAATTCTCTGATTTTCTTGGCTTTTCTGGGGTCTATCAATTTTGCAGTTTGAAACTTCGCTCACATACTAATCACATATTTTTGCTGCTGCGCATGTTATTTACTGTATGAATTGAGTAGGGCCATACAGATGGCATAAAATCTTCAACAGCAAAATACATTCACAGCATTTTACAGAGAAATTCTCATGCGAAAAAAATCATGTTTTGTTGCAGATGGATCAGTCTACTGTTACAGCCTCGACTAGGCAAGAACGCAGTACTCGCAGGTAATTTTATCCATTTGATAAAATCTATAGCTCTTCCTCCGAGCGCTGGGGAAATTATCGCATCTGAGAAATGCTTTTTTTACTTGAAAGCTGGACTGATCTACAGATGCTTTGACTGCTCTATTGGGTTTCTCAACAATTTGCTTTGAAAAATTATACACTTTAGACGACCTCGTGATGAAACTACTGAAAGCATGGACACAACAGTTACAGAATCTCAACAAGCAGCCAAAAGACCTCGTACAGAGACGGCAAGCATTGATGTTGGCAGGTATGATTTTACTAAATTTTTTCATCAGTGCAGATAGGCTCAGGTGAACAAATGTGGGAAATTTCTGGCATATTGAATGAACATTTTTATTTGGCAATTTCTTGAGATCTTTTCTGGCAGTTTTTTGCAGATTTTTTCATCCGTCTCAGGGTTTACAAAAAATCGCACCAAAACTTTGTTGTTGTCACCATAGATTTTCGTGATCCGTTTTCGAAATTTAATTCCTACTGCTATCCATGAAAAATCATAATTTCAGATACAAGCTCTTCCGTTCATATGTTCGCAAAGTGTTTGATGAGATTGGCACTACCGATGACATGGTAGATCTAGATAGAGTCACTGAAGGTGAGGGGTTTTAACTTCTTATTTGAAAACCGCTCTTATGATTGTTTACTTTGATGGTTTGATTTTCAGGAGTGCAATCACAGGCCGGCACAAACCAGTTCACGGCTGGAGAGCTAGAAGCCGGATACGAGCGCATGGCTAGTGACAATGCAATCATGATCGCTGATAACAAGATCACTCTCATCTAACGTTTTATTTCTGCTAATGTGTGCTATACGTATCGATTGCTTATCCCAGTAATTTTGCAATGATCTCAGAGTATTTTTAAGCTTTTGGATTTGAATGACAATTCTGTATTTTGGGTATACAATTCCTCTGCCTTGTTCTGAATAATATGATAAAGTCCCTGTTTTTTT